GGGGGGTATTATGTGTAAATGGTAAACATCTCTCCTTTTTACCTGGTGCATTGTAAAAACAGATTGGTTGAAATGACCAATTTAAATTTGATGTCTCAAACGCTTTGTTTTAACCAATTTTTACTGGTGAAAACAACCAACAAATTGGTTATTGAAACAACTCAAAAAATGGTTAAAACAACCAATATTTTGGTTGTTTTAGACAGCCAATTTAAATTGGTTATTTCAACCAATCTGTTTTTACAGTGTAGAATATGTTCATGCCGTACAATCTGACAATCATAATTAGCATTCTTCTCGTGTTTTGACAAACGCTTTGCAATGCAGTATTTTCACATTGCGCAGTCAATGCTATAATGCATTTTTACATTACAAAAAGTAATGCAATTCTTCCACTCTGGAAACACCACAATGTCTGACTCATGCTTGGACATTGTGAATATTTGATACTATACAATCATATTAACTAAACTTAACTACTGCCATTTAAACTCGTTTTCTCATCCGGGGGTGCGGATGGTTTTTCTGGCGGAGGTCCTAGTACTATCGGTTCACTATTACCATTTTGAGGGATGGGGGAGGTCGCTGACGTTGGTTGACTCGTCACTACATCTTCATCGTCCTCCTCTTCCCCCGGAAAATCAGTAAAATCTTCTTCCTGGACGGCGGGTTTACATTTGCCACAGCAACAACCGCAGCAACAGCACAGACAGCAACAGAAGTAACAGCCCGTGATGAGACCACAGAATATGAATAAACCCTTCGCAGGAGAAAATGAGAATACATTTGAACCTGTGTTGAAGTGCTTTCGTGAAAGGGTAATGGCAATATATTTTTTATTTTCTCATTTGAAAGAACTCTTAAGACTATATATTATTCTCTTCTACAAATATTTTGATCGAAAGGAATGAAATGTCCGCCATTTTCATTTTTTGTAGACATGCATGTCACGTCACAACAGGGGTCAAGCAATATTTTATCTATTAAACAAACACTAATCATTTTGCACTCAAAACTATACTCTGTCTGCCTTTCGAAATATCAAGATCACTCAAAACCTTTAAAACATCTACCGATCAATATTTGGTCAGCAACATTGGTCAGTAACGAATACTTTTGTCCAAAACTACCTTTGATGAGATCAATAATTTATCCAAGATGGCGGACATCTCGTTACTTCAAGTGAAAATATTTCAAGAACTAAAGGCTCACGGAAAAGTTTAAATCTTTTTAAATTTAACACTAGTATGAATTACCTGTACAAATGCATACTCAATCATTCACAAAACTATATGCTTTTTTTTATTTATTCAGTTATTTCATAAGTAACATTTAAAAAAGATTTAAACTTTTCCGTGTGTATATACGCACGTATGAAAAACGCGTGACTGGAGAGCAGCCTTAAGCAAGATATAAAAATCGCTAAAGAATATATCCACACCGGGCAAGCTTGAAAAATATGCCTGGCCACGGTGAGAATCGAACCTACGACCTTTGGAATACTAGCCCAATGCTCTGCCAACTGAGCTACGCGGTCAGGTCGGTTCGAGTATGTGATATTTCGGAACTGAGTCTAGTTTCTTCGATATCAATGCAATCTATAGTAATCATGATTTTTTCTGTGTTGGTGTTGTGTACTCAGGTGAATATGATGTTTGTGATGTTACTCTGACATCACAAACTTCTTATTCACCTTAGTACATAACACCAACACAGAAAAAATCGCTAAAGAAGTTAATATATAGTTTCAAAAGTTCTTTCAAATGAGAAAATAAAAATTAATATTGCTATTTCCCTTTAAAAGGGTCAGTCAGTCAGTGCGGGTGTGCTAATCATCCTTACTAGCAGCTGAGAGCTGAGCTGAATGGAGATTTGCATTATAGACTAAATTTTGATCTAAACACATCTAGACAAAAATTTCATCACAGCTTATATGTATTCCAAAGTTTCGTTTTAAAATGTTGTAAAATGCGGAATAATATAGCCTTGCGAAATTTGCAATTTTCAGTCATTTTGTATTACAAACGGGAAATTGATGCCCCAACACCCGATTGGGCTGTCAATTTCCCGTGCGTAATACAAAATGACTGAAAAACGGCAAACTTCGCAGGGCTATATTATCCGCATTTTACAACATTTCTCAACGAAACTTTGAAATATTACTAATTTTGTGATGCTCTTTCAAGCTGTGATGAAATTTTTGTCTAGATCAAAATTTAGTCTATAATGCAAATGGTCCATTGCAAAGGACGCAGCTCAATCTGACCGAGGAGAAATCGTTGGAGACAATTAGGCTGTCTAAAGGCGCTTCTGGTTGCCTGCGGATACACAATACTTGAAAGCGTCAGTCACCCCTTATGACTCATCGCCAGTAATACCCTACCATCGCGCTACAGTGGCACTAACTACAGTTGGGTTGCATGAATTATTCCAAGAGTATATTTTACGAGCATCTCGTTAGAACATAATCGACTTACTTTGCACCAAATACTATTCAAACGGAAATATAATTTCACATTCTGAAAAAGAAACATAAAGTAAATGATCCAGTATGCGGAAATCTAGTTAAGACTTAAAGCCGGTTTTCCACTAGGCGGAATTTTGCGCGCGGAGCGGCATTTTTCTTTGTCTTGTGATTTCTCGGGTGGAACTGATTAGAAAAGACAAAGAAAGATTCCGCTCCGCGCGCAAAATTCCGCCTAGTGGAAAACCGGCTTAAGTTATATCTCAGAAGTGGATATTGAACGTTGGCTCTTAACTAATTAACAGACACTGTTGATTAACAGGCACTTACACTTTGATTTGACTAAATCTATCTGACTGCTTTAATATTATCGCTTTTATATTTAACGAATATAAAACATTTTTCCGTGTCAACGCCCAGATTGTTTTCACACAATTTCGAGTTTTCTCAATTTCCACGAGTGTTGATGTAACTGTACACCAATGCGGAAAATGTTTTATATTTTTTTATAATATAGCACAAAGAAATATAAAGAAAGAAATTTTCCGTGTTGAGTTACATCAACACGGCTCTTAGCCAATCAGCGTTCAGAATTTACAAATGCTATATTACAATCACTAGTATAAAAGCACATGTCATTTTCCTGATCCCTGCTAGTATCATATATATACGTAGTTTTTTTTTGTTACGAGTACCTGACCCGCACCCCACCCCCTCACAGGTGGAAGGCTCAAGTCTTGTCTTCATTACAACGCAAACATAGCAAGCGGAACGCTTTGATGTTCTCATACTTGTGTTGTACTGTATCCTAACCTGCTCGCAGGCCGATATTTATTTTTGGGTGGGGCCTGCGAGCAGACTAACCATGATATTCTTATATTTGTGTTCCTGCTTATGTTGCGTCGTAGCGAGGACAGTACAAAATAAATCAATACGTTTCATCCCTTTTATGCTAAAACTTGTGTCGTAGCGAAGACCAGATTTAACAGATGATATACATCATACAAAGGAAGAGACTGTGTTGCTTATCGGAAATATTTTTACACTGAATTCGATATCTTTATTTCAACACATCTGTTTGCGGAAAAACCGACTGCAATATTGTCACTATGACTATGTGTACAAAACAGATATTGTACGGCTATAGTAATATTAACATTTTGGTATGTTACAGGTTTTGCAAATTGCTGCAACCATAGTTAATAGAATAGAATAGATGGTTTGGAGACTCATTAGAATAACAATATAACTCATTATCTATGTTAGTCAACGTTTATTCATAAATCTGCTCGTTTACCGTCACGTGCGTATTGTATTTTTGCCAAACTAACCAATAATAATGTTTTAAGAAAGTTACCTATCCGTGACTCGAACAATAGGGTAAATTGGAAATTGCTATTGGTGGATTTGGTAAAAATACAATACACACGTGACGGTGAAGGACCAGATTTATGCATAAACGTTGACTAACATAGATAACGAGTTATATTGTTATTCTAATGAGTTTCCAAACCATCTATTCTATTAACTATGCTGCAACAGAGGAGGTTGAACATGGTCCGAAAAGGATGATGGGAATTTTTACAATATCTTAATATTTTGTTTAACTGCAATATCATAACACGTTTCCAGTTCCATCAAAAACACTTTATTCATATTCATCGAAATTTAATTTACCTATTAAACATCGTTATTTACATACATGAATGGTATTTATAGTACAAAGCTGTCGATTCGTAAGCGTGTATATCCACAAGTGCAAATTGAGTCAGTTTTAAATTAATGATACGTCTTTTTACACAAAAGTGTCGCGAAATTAATACAAGGTTAGCAAGCCTTTGAGCAGTACTTTCATTCAAAAGCTATGTCTTGTTACGCCTGCATCAATCGAAGATGAGAGTGCAACATTATCATGTATTCTATTTAAGTTCAAACATCGTTGGAACATTTTAGGAAGTGGTCATTATTTATAGGGGGGGGTGGCACCGAAGAGAAAAGGGTTGGGTAAACAAAATTTTGAGTGAGTAAAAGGTTGGGTAAATGAAAAACAAAACAACTCAAGGGTTGGGTAATAAAAAAAATATTGTCATTTCCAAAGTATGACTCATTCAAATATTGAAGACTAAAAAGCAATGTCAACAGTCATATGTCAACGAAATACTGTGTGTAAATCAGAGTCACTATCTTGATCATTTTCCGATTTGTCAGGAGGCAAATGGTATCTCCAAAGAAAGTACATGTGCAGACAACATGAAACTTTAGACTGCAGAAAATTGCACAAGCAGTTATCAAACTGATGTCACAGAAGTGGTAAAGGACATGTGTGACAACTGAATGGTATCCTTTTGTAACGTTTCGGCTAAGGGTGGGTATTTATTTTTTTGTTGATATTTGATGTTGGGTAAAATTTTTTAAAACTTTTCAATGGTTGGAACAGTAAAATTTTTACCGAGAAAAACATTCCTCTTCGGTGCTACGCCCTACATAAATGATCAGTCCCTAATATTTCGTTAATCTAGAGGTTGAAATGTCCCCTGTAACAATGCGTGACTGCAAACTCTCATCAGCGTTTGACCAGGGATTTACTTCATGTTATGTCACTGAAACTTCGAGCTCTTTCTTCTCCTAAAATTACTCGCACCATCCCCGACTACGCAAAACCCTGTGACTTCAAAACTGTCTTTATCCATTTGTATCCTACGATACATCACTGTAAACTCGTGTGACACCAGGGTACCATTAATATCCACCAGTCTCAACTTTGATCCCAAATTGCTCCGAATAGCCCTCACTAACGCGCATGCTCCTTGAGAACGTATGAAATTCTGCGCGAGGTTTAGAACCTCTAGGGAAAAATTGTCTCTTAAGCTCTGAGCGATGTACTGGGCGCCCACTTCGGAGATGAAATTACCATTGAGGGAAATCTTTCTTAGTAAAGGAACTGTTAATATTATATCAGCAATAGAGACCATGCCTTTGTCGTATAAATAGTTCCAGGATAAATCAATTTCGTTCAAAGATTCATTGTCTTGCAAGCCTTCGACCATCTGTCGTATTCCTTCGGGGCCGATCTCATTGTGACTGAGATTCAAGCTTCTCACTGAGCTAACAGGCATATACTTGGTCATCAATTCACCGACATACGGTCCTAGGATGTTATAACTTAGATCCAAGCTGATGAGACTATCGGATTCAGGTAACGACGCTAAAAACACCTCCATGTCACGATCATTCAGTCCGTTATGCGCTAACGTCAAGTAACGAATGTCGGTATTCTGCAACAGCTTTGCAACCCAGGTGATACCAGATCTTCCTAAGTTATTCCTCGCCAAATTCAACTCTTTAACATTTTTACAAAGCTTGAGAATTCTATAGACAACGCTCATGCCTCGTTCGTCTAGACTGCACCCGCTAAAATCCATCTTCACAATATGTGAGCTATCCCAATCATGGATTTCGTTAAAGACATGTACGACTCCGCCATAACCGAGATTAAAGCCGCAAAAATCAAGCATGGCAGTACTTGGCGATGTTTTAGCCTTGGATTTCTTATCGTGCGGTGTTTTGGACTTTTTTTCACTTTCAACAGCACAACTTGTTTCAACGATCTTCGTAATCTTGTTTTCAACTCTTCGGAGATTTGCGAATCTTGCATTGTGACGCTCGGATATGGCAGAGTTTTCTCAGCTGTCATTCGTCCGGCCACTTCAGCGCTTTCTCCATCATTTGTTGAAGCCAATTTTTCGTAGTGTTGAATTCTCTGTTGAGCGGCAAGCATTATTCGTGTCCGAACAGACGGTCTACGTTTTTGCGAGCCGCGAGTTGATGAACTATTTACTATATTATTCATTTTTAACAACGTACCGAAGCTTAGTTCGACCGAGGCCTATATAGTAAATAGCTTTTTCTTTGGATTTCTTGTGTATATATACAAAATATATATATTTGCTGCGAGATTTCATCTCCTAGGCGACTGACCAAAATAATTTTCAAAAAAGGCCACGAAAATCTAGAATATGTTTTAAACCCAATACAAACGCGTATCTTAAATATTTCGGCCCGTTTTACGATTTAACGCGTTATATTAGGCAAAAAATAGCGATCCCCTACCGGTAAATAACCGAAATTGATCAAATAGGTTTTAATATAAATGAAGCTAATTTATTTGGTCGTTAATATTCAATTTGACAGGTGGCTAAACAATAGTTTTTTTTTCTTCAAGTAATTAGTTAGGTAGTAAAAAAAATTAGTTGGGTATTTTAAAAACAATTAAGAAACTATCAAGCCGATTTAAGAAAAGCAATCTATTCTTAAAAGAAGATCTGCAATTATGTACTCTGTTTAAATATGTGTTTACTAGGACGGTTGTTCACACGTAAAAAGACTAATTCATGAATCGTGGGGTGTACCACTCTCAAAAAAAAAGCGCACGAGAATTTTAGGATTTCAAAATGTCGGTAACAATTACGCTGGGACTTTGTGATTTTTTTGCGAGAATTTCAGTGGATTTTAAAGGATATTTTTGGCAAGATTTTATGGATTTTGATAGGGATTTTGATAGCAATTCGAAAGGGATTTTGAATATTTTGCGAGAAATTTCAAGAATTTCAGTTATTTTGCGAGATTTTTAGTGATTTTGTAGGGGAGGTTTTTGGATTTTAGGGATTTCAAATTTTTGTCAGGATTTCGAAAGATTTTTTTTTGATTTTGCACTTCGTAGTAAAATACCAATGTAAATTACATTTGTATTATTCAGACCTGCCAATTCGCGTAGATACAAACGTGCACGTGATCCCCTACTGTACTATTGACAGCATTACTGCCACATTTGATCACAGAACATGCTTCTCTAACGGGATTGCTAATAATAACATGTCTGATTTTACTTCAACATACTCATTGACTAAATTTATAGGCTAAAATTTGCGCTGGAGTAATAGTACTGTAAAATGTTCTTCACAAAACTCCAGGGGGTGTATATTCTTCAATGAACTTTGATTCTCCCCCCCTCCTTCTTTTCAGATTTGATTCTTTTCCCCATATCTTTACTACATCAGCCTCAAAGGCCTGTACCTAATAGTAATACTGTGACATAGTATATTTGTCCCCTCCCCAAGATAGAATAAAATACCTAAATTATAAATTAGCTAGTTATAAGTTATTATTTACTAAATTTGCAATCCTCAGTAAAGCTTTTCATATTTATTTAAGTTACTTTCCATTAGGAAAAAATTAGAAAAATTCATTTTGGAAAATGGAAACACTGATTTTCACGAATTACCCACGGAAATTTTTCTCTTCTTTTCCCTCTGCCTTTCCATTGTTTCTACTCTTCTTTGATTTTCTTCCCTAGCCCTAAGACCCTTTGATTCTTTTCCCCACCCCAGGGGGGGGGGGAGATTATAGAAGAATATACACCCCTGCAAAACTCAAAAGAGAAGATCCACACAATGTATTGATAACAAAATTAAAATTGTGTGAACATGTGGTGCGTGGGACCAAAATTTAAATGTGTGACTGTCACACCTTGCAGGTACGTGATTATTCTAAAGGTCACACTATAATTTAAAGACAGATTCACATACCTCGTCTCCAAACTGTTCAGCGATATACAGGCCCATGTTTCCATACTCATCATAGATTTGTCTTTTACTTGGATTGGATAAAATTGTATTGGCATGACTAATTACTTTAAACTAAAACAAAACAAGGTATATATAAATCAATATCTGATATCTTGACAGGGAGGGTCCCAGACATCCCCAGACGAACATATATTACTGTGGTCGCAAAGTTCCCATGCAAGAAAATCGTGGAGTTCAACCACAGACAATATATGACGTCCAGCAGACTGACCCAATAAACATGCCCTAGTTTATTATTTTACTCTAGCTGGCCTCTAACTCCTGAATTATTAATTCAACTGCCCACTTAAGGCCAAGACACACCGGACGTGATTCGACAACACGGCGAGATTTGTCAGTTTTTGAAAGTTAATAAAACAGCCAATGAAAGGAAATTTTAAAAGAAATGTAGACCAAATAACTCAAAATGTTATAGTGCTTCTAAATATTTGGAAAACTTAAACCAGGACCAAATTTATCAGTCAGCGAAAATCAACTGGCGTCTGGTGACCTTTAGCCCCTTATACCGTGGAAGTAGCGTTGCAACAGCGGCAAATACAAAGCCAAACGTGGCATACAGTCTATTGCCTCGCCCGTTTTTAGGTTTTCTGTGGCGGGCTGAACGTCTGCCACGCAGGCTAGCCTAATGTCTGCAGCCATGAGCATCACATGATACTTACCCTATCTGCAGCAGTCGGATCATTAGGGTTCTTGTCAGGATGATGCATGAGAGCCATCTGAAAATTATTTAAGATAATTTAGAATTTTTTCAATGGTCACATTTCTACAAGAGAAGGACAAACAGATCATCTGTCAAAAATAGAATGATTGATTACCCTTCGATAAGCCTTCTTGATTTCCTCAGGCGTGGCATCTTTGCTTACACCTAAGAGTTCATATAAATCTTTCTGCTGCCTAGAAAATTAAAAATTTACCCTGGTTAAAGTTTTGCCAAGGTGGCCAGGCAGAAGACAATGAGGATTTCATAAATGGAATATGACAACATCAGAGAGAGCTAGAGAAAGACAGTTGTCGAGCTCTAACCAACTGAGCTACAGAGAGACAGTTGTCGAGTTCTAACCAACTGAGCTACAGAGAGACAGTTGTCTAGCTCTAACCAACTGAGCTGCAGAGAGACAGTTGTCGAGCTCTAACCAACTGAGCTACAGAGAGACGGTTGTCCAGCTCTAACCAACTGAGCTACAGAGAGACAGTTGTCAAGCTCTAACCAACTGAGCTACAGAGAGACAGTTGTCGAGTTCTAACCAACTGAGCTACAGAGAGACAGTTGTCGAGCTCTAACCAACTGAGCTACAGAGAGACAGTTGTCGAGCTCTAACCAACTGAGCTACAGAGAGACAGTTGTCGAGTTCTAACCAACTGAGCTACAGAGAGACAGTTGTCTAGCTCTAACCAACTGAGCTACAGAGAGACAGTTGTCTAGCTCTAACCAACTGAGCTACAGAGAGACGGTTGTCCAGCTCTAACCAACTGAGCTACAGAGAGACAGTTGTCAAGCTCTAACCAACTGAGCTACAGAGAGACAGTTGTCGAGCTCTAACCAACTGAGCTACAGAGAGACAGTTGTTGAGTTCTAACCAACTGAGCTACAGAGAGACAGTTGTCAAGCTCTAACTACTTGAGCTACAGAGAGACAGTTGCCGAGCTCTAACTGAGCTACAAATAGACAGTTGTCGAGCTCTAACCAAATAAATATTAGGATTTTGGCATCTCACACTCAATAGAACAAACTATCAAAGATTTTGAGATGGAAATTTTGGAATGGAATTTTACGTTATATGAGAAGCATTCACCCCCCCCCCCCGAAAATATTTAAAATGGCAGATGTTCAGGGGGCAAATGCCTCTCATAACTGCGCTGGCTAGGAACACAGTAAGTGACCAATCATTGCGTGGCAGCGCTTGTTTGGCAGAGTCGACCTTCTGTAATCTTACAGAAGGTAAACTTTTCTTTGCCGGAAGGAAGTCGTTAATTTGGGTTTTATCCTAAGCCATCCTTTCAACATTCTTTAAAATTCTTTGTATGTATACTTTTGTACTCGCCCCTCGTGGAAATCAGCTTTGGGTGAGGGGGTCAGCGTGTTTAACCCTTCAAGTGGCAATGTGCCCCCTACTTTATTATTTTACTCTGTCTGCCGCCAGACGATTTTACTTGTCAGGGGGAAAGTGCTGGCATTGAATAGGTTAAACCTTGAACATTTCGAACAAGATTGAACCCCGGTAACGCTGTATCGTGTAAACAGCTGCCAAGCGGGGCTATCTCACTTAGCACGTAAACTGAGATCTAGCATAAATCGCCCTTTAGATCAAGTGAAAGATAAACAAATATAGAAACGCCAGTGGTATTGCGATTATCCACAAGAAAATATTCAAAATCACACACAAATTTGCATCAAAAATTCTAACACACAAACAACACTCCCACGGAAACTTCCACAAAACCAAAGCATTTACATAAACCCAAACACGAGACCACAAGACCTGCCAAATTATCAAATAATTCACTACGCATTTATAAATATTTATTAACAATAGCGCGGGTTTCCCGATTTATAACCCTTCTGTCAAGTTAAACAAAACCTCGGCACACTTTCTTGCGGTTAATTGTATAAATTTGAACAAATATAACACTCATTAATGCACAATTTCGGCAAAAAATTGTACAATTACAGCTTTAAAGCATGGGAATTTCAATACGATATTCGCGCGAACAATTATAAAAGGTCTTCATTGTGTTATTAAAATCTGTGATTTTCCAGCTTGCAAAGGGATAATTGTATTAAAATTAAAGAATTATCTAAGCCTAGAAATTAATAATAGAACATTAATAAGGATGGAAATTTGCAGATAAATCAAAGCAAATATACGAAAATTAAAGTTGACAAGCCAAGGCATGCACTTTGTCATCGATTTTATAAACGAATACGTACACATCGCCTTCATGTGTGAAATAAATCAAAACTTACATAGATTCGGCGCTTTCTTTCTCGCCATCAACAAAGGGGCCTTTCTCGCCTTCCGTAGGCGGCATTTCGATACAATTGTGGCCACTAGAAGTCCATATTTTGTCAAAAAATCACAAACATTTCGCGATGTTTTTGTGAAGGGATCACTTCACCTTCGTCGAATATGTCACATGCCGTGATGTCATTGCCCCTGGCATCAACTTAAAAACCATACGCCAAAAGGAGTTCTGGAATTTGACCTTTGTATCAATCTTGATCTAATCCGAACTTCATCCCAAGCCAAACCATATTCCCAAGCATAATCTAATCCTAATCTGAAGCTTAATCCTAAAGCTTCAGTCTCCCTTTTCAATATCAAAATAAAGGTCACGTTTGTCGAGTGTTTTAATTAATTACAGTTTAACTTAAAGATGATGTCCACTCCGTTCTGCGCATCAGTTCTGCTCATAAGAAAGGGGGACCCCCAAATATAAACATTGCTCAAATTTTGCATCTTTCGAACTTTTTTGAATTGAAACGTACAGTTTATATTCATTTACAAGTATAGCAAACCAGAAAAGTGTTAGATATTCAGTTAGTATATCATATTTTACAAACATAGCTATTAGCATTTCAAAACGTAAACAAAGTTCGCACAAGTGCACATCTTTAAATAGAATACATGATATTGTTAGGAAAGCATTAAGAAGAGCTAATCAAGGTTGTGTGACTGGTAACTCTCATGCATGTTCATCCTTGTTTCATCTGGGGCTAATGACTCTAACAATAATCCTTATCCAAACTGCAAATGTTGACACCCAGTTTGCTAGACTGGTGCTCTGCTAGGCAATGGGGCAATTTGTCCCTGGAGCCCCCAGCTTCCAGCTACAATGCGCAGCCGAGATCTCGGGTGCACAGTTTTGATGTTCCCAATGTATTTACTATTAAATTTTCGTAATCTCAGACACACAATTTCCAAACTTTCCAGTCTGGCCCGGCTTAAACTGAAAACAAGCCCTTTATCGTAGATATCCATACAAACTGCCGACATGGGTGGCTACTCTGAGAACATGCAAAATTTGTTGACATACTCGGACTTTGTTGCTATGGGGCACTGATTGACCACGGCTCCTGGCTTGAGCTGGGCAACGCTGAACAAAGTTACACCACTGGTGTCGGCAATGTCATAGAAAAAGATACAGACTTGAGGTTCCCCCTCGTTAACATGCACGAGACATTGGCTCCCTCATTAGCATGTATGCCTGGGGGAAAACGGTCAGAGCAATCACAGAATAAATCTACGTCAAGTTGTCAAGATGAAACATATCAACTAGCCAGCCGTGCCCCTTGCCAGTCTTTCAATATATATTAGTAAACTTTAAGCATGAAATATTATTCCAAAAGTTCTTCAAAATCATCTATATAAATTTGAAGTACTGAAGTTTGCATAGATTTCAAACATTTTGATCTTCATATACTTTATGCAAATAATATTATATGCACATGTTTTGTCTAGATTTTGTACACCAAAAATGTCTAAATTTATCATATCTTAAATAAGCTATTACGGGCAAATATAAACATTAGATATATACAGAAATAGCCTTTCCCTGATACTTGTATATCAATAAACAAACCCAAATACTGAATGCATTGAAGTTATACTTGCATAATACTCGCATGATAAAACAAACTAAACATATTGTAAATCTTTAATACTAAAAGTGTAAAAAGTTGTGTGTATCTTAGTTAATTGATGCTCAGTAAAAAAACACCTCAATGTATTTCCGAGCACACTATTCACTCAAACATGGCGGCCAAAATATGCATGATCTTTAAAGGTTTAAATGCACTAAAAGATATACTCACTCGCCCTCATTTTTCATAGTATTGTAGTTAGCCATCTCTACAAGCCAAGGCTATCAAACAATGGCAAAAAATACAGCAGAAATCCTTTTTATGTTAGCATATTCGCTTCATTTTATGCTCACCGATACCACGATTGATACAGCGAGAGGACAGGTGACTTACAGTTAATATATGCAAATTTCGAATGGATGTTGTCATATTCTGATTGGAAAAACAGGATGTTTTACCGGTCCAGTAATTCGCTGAGTTTTAACGGATATTATAATAACGGAGGGGGGAAATTTTTGTTTTTTCCACATAAGATTGTATAAAGCCTTCCATATCGGGCTATGAACTTCCTTGGCAAGCACTTCCGATAAAATTTTATATCTTTTTTCATCAATTTAAAACGTCTAAATTGCTACAGTGCAGTGTATAATTTGTTACAAAAAATACTGTATAATTGTTACAAAATCTATTAATTTGTTACAAATATGCGAAATCTATTCAAAGTATCTGTGAAATTTTGCAAAGGTATTAAATTCCAAGTTTTGAAGGATTTGTAAGAAATGAGAGAGTGCTGAACTAAACACTGACAAATCCTTCAAAACTTAGAATTTAATACCTTCGCAAAATTTCTACTGTGATCACAGAAATGTTGATAGTATAAACCAGCATTTACAAATTGTTTAATACTGTAGCAACGTGTCACAACTCACAAACCAATTGAACACACAACTTGTCATAAATTTAACTATAAAACACTACACTTCCACAAAATCCAATATTAAATCTATTTGTTAGTAAATTCTTCGATGATATTTTTATGCTGGGGGAATTCTGCGACTAATTTCGCCAGGTCTGCCACTTCTATATCATCATGGTCAAAGCCAGGCGCAACGGCTCCACTGAATAAACCATAATCTGCATCTCCTTGCCAGAGACAGAAATTAAACCAGGACTTTGCAGGTAAAGTGTAGTTATATCTTGCTTGCTCGTTCTGTAATTTGTCTCCGACTAAAATGTCCTCCAGTTTTCCGTCAGGTTTGATAACAGCAATTCGCATCGGGTTTCCTTTGTGGTAGAAAAACGTTTCGTCCGATTTTAATCGCCGCCACAGGCCGTACTCGCCTTCCCTGGCCAGAAAATAGATGGTTGTGAAGGCATTTCGTTCTTCGCGCTCGTCTGATAATGGTTTCACTTTTAAATCGGAGCGATAGAGTTCCTTGAAGTAAAAATTCTTGCAAACGATGCTTGGATATGGAACTAATTCAAGCTTTTTGATCAATTCGTCGGCCGCCATGAGAAAAAATTTTAACAAAGAAAGATTTGTTCGCACCCAACCTCGTCCCCAGGGTCTTCCTTTCGCACCCCCTGAATAATCGTATTTCTAAAACACCATACACCAAAAGTAGAATGAGAAAACGAGGTCACATGTAATATTGTTTTCAAATGCTTGCTATCTCAAATGATTTTTAAATGATTTTTAAGAAAGAAATAATAATTACAGGTTCGGTTTTCACGATTCGGCAAGCACTTATGATAATCGACGTTTTTTGAATTGACAAAGTTAAATGTCTTATTATAAATTATCCATTTATTTTACCAAAATGATTTGTACGTTCTGAGCTTTCGCAGACCATGTTCAAAAGAGAAGGGACGAATTCTGCGCACGTAAAAACGCGCAAGTTGAAAGAAACATGCAGCAGACTTGTAGCAATGCTGTTCCAACGACTTGTCAACAGGATGTGTTCGCACTGCTTGTTCCCAGCTTGTTGAGAACTTGCTACAAGGTTGTTGAGCTCAACAGACTTGTTACAAGTTGTTCCAACAAACCGTCCGTCCTGCAATTCAACAATTTGTCAACAAGTTATGAGTGACAACCTTGTAGCAACTTGATAAAATAACAGCATTGTTACAACTTGTTGACAAGCTTGCTACAAGACTGTTGCGAACACATCTTGTTGACAAGTTGTGAGATTTTTACGTGTGCAGTTCGAATTTCGGTCTCATTTGAACAGAGTCTCAAAGTCAGAACAGATTAATTAAACTTCTCCAGGGCGCTTTTTCGACGCGTACATCTTTCCCACCCAACCACGAAGACTTAACAGACTTATCTCGTCAGTTTTAATCCACATGGGCGAGTATCAGTGCTGTTCGACAAGGAATGTAAACCTGCAATTTAAAAGGACAAAATCAAGAATGTTTATATACATGTCATAAACGAGAAATGCCGCACACAAAATATTTTGTAAGATGTCAGTTCTACCATTTCATCGTTTGTCAGCTATCAGTTAGGATATTTTGTAAGATGTCAGTTCCAAATTACTGTTTCATCGTTTGTCAGCTATCAGTTAAGATATTTTGTAAGATGTCAGTTCCAAATTACTGTTCCATCGTTTGTCAACTATCAGTTAAGATATTTTGTAAGATGTCAGTTCCAAATTACTGTTCCATCGTTTGTCAACTGTCAGTTAAGATATTTTGTAAGATGTCAGTTCCAAATTACTGTTTCATCATTTGTCAGCTATCAGACCAAAAGGTTTAGAAAAATTAAACCCATTTAGAGCCAGGGTAATACGGATATTTTTTCCTACCAAAGTTGAATAAGGTCGATCATTATAACTCATTTCATCCACGGTGTATTCACAACCAGGAGTAATCCTCTTGTGGCCACCAAATTTTTCGGCGTCTGAATCCAAAACTAGTTTATATCTGGAGGTATTTGTCAAGGAAAATGCTCACGTTCGTCAGAACTTGTAATAGTCCTTTTCTTGAGGAATAATTTGCATGTTGGTATACAAACTTATGTTCTGCCCATGCACTTGACGTGATAGCACAACAGACATGCGGATCTGAGATCCCACAACTTGTCAACAAGATGTGTTCGCAACAGGCTTGTAGCAAGCTTGTCAACAAGTTGTAACAATGTTGTTATTTTATCAAGTTGCTACAAGGTTGTCACTCACAACTTGTTGACAAATTGTTGAATTGCAGGACGATAACAAGTTGTTGGAACATCTTGTAACAAGTCTGTTGAGCTCAACAACCTTGTAGCAAGTTATCAGCAAGTCGTTGAGAACTTGTCAACAAGCTGGGAACAAGCAGTGCGAACACATCCTATTGACAAGTTGTTGGAACAGCATTGCTACAAGTCTGCTGCAGGTTTGATACAATGTTTAAGTTTGTAGTGTTCTATTTGGTGGCAAATAAATAAAATTGATTTCCTTGAGTGCCATCTACTGCCATGTATCGACGCTTAATGGAACCCATCAATAAAGTAATTCAAGGATACTTCCCCGATGCGGGAACACCGACTCTGTAATCAGGATAGCTGTTTGTCGCGTGAAAGTTGAAAATGAACACGACACCGGCTCTGTCGAACACCATGACTTTGTCAGACTGATGTTTCGTACTAACATAACCCTAAAATTGAAATCGTTTGATTGCCGTTATAATTGACCCTTAATCTCTTCTATCTTGTCTCACTTTAGGAAACATTGCTATGTTTCCTGGTTTGTCCACCTTTGGGAAACATGGCTAGGAAACAATGTTTCCTGGTTTGTCCATCATTGGGAAACATGGCTAGGAACAATGTTTCCAGGTTTTTCCACCTTTGGGAAACATGGCTAGGAAACAATGTTTCCTGGTTTGTCCATCATTGGGAAACATGGCTAGGAACAATGTTTCCAGGTTTTTCCACCTTTGGGAAACATGGCTAGGAAACAATGTTTCCTGGTTTGTCCATCATTGGGAAACATGGCTAGGAAACAATGTTTCCTGGTTTGTCCACCTTTGGGAAACATGGCTAGGAAACAATGTTTCCTGGTTTGTCCACCTTTGGGAAACATGGCTAGGAAACAATGTTTCCTGGTTTGTCCATCATTGGGAAACATGGCTAGGAAACAATGTTTCCTGGTTTGTCCACCTTTGGGAAACATGGCTAGGAAACAATGTTTCCTGGTTTGTCCACCTTTGGGAAACATGGCTATATAGGAAATAATGTTTCCTGGTTTGTCCACCTTCAGGAAACATGGCTAGGAAACAATGTTTCTTGGTTTGTCCACCTTTGGGAAACATGGCTAGGAAACAATGTTTCCTGGTTTGTCCACCTTTGGGAAACATGGCTAGGAAACAATGTTTCCTGGTTTGTCCACCTTTGGGAAACATGGCTAGGAAACAATGTTTCCTGGTTTGTCCATCATTGGGAAACATGGCTAGGAAACAATGTTTCCTGGTTTGTCCATCATTGGGAAACATGGCTAGGAAACAATGTTTCCTGGTTTGTCCACCTTTGGGAAACATGGCTAGGAAACAATGTTTCCTGGTTTGTCCACCTTTGAGAAACATGGCTAGGAAACAATGTTTCCTGGTTTGTCCACCTCTGGAAGACGTTTCCATTACGACAATCCTACCTGCTGAGCGTGCAGCCAACCATATTCCTCCTCCAAATGATTCATCTTCTTGTCAAACTCGTTCAGAAACTTATATCTCAATGAAGGATCATCAGCAAGATGAAACTGTCTTCTGGCATAATGGTAGCTTGAGTTGTTCCCCTCCCTGGGAAAGTCCAACCATTCTGGATGACCAAACTCATTGCCAATAAAATTCATGTACGCTTCTCCTCCAAGACCATGAGTCAGTAATCTGGGAGGGAAAAGAATGTTGAAGTATTGAGTTAGCGTTAAAATAGTACCACCATATATAAATATCATCTTCACCATGACAATGATGATCATCATCACCATCATCATCACCATCATCATCACCATCACCATCACCATCATCATCATCACCATAACCATCATCATCACCACCATCATCATCATCATCATCACCATCACATCATCATCATCATTATCAGCATCACCATCATCATCACCATCATCATCATCACTATCATAATCACCATCACCACACATACCTTATCATTTTATGCAAGGCCAGTCCTCGATCAATGATAGGAGTTAAATAAGATGTCACTGACATGAAGTCATACATCTCTTTGTCCATCAACCAGAATGCAATAGTTTTATCTCCGACTAAAGCCTGATCGTGGCTCTCGGCATAAGCGATGGTGTTCTCCATATAACGCCTGTTTGTCATGGTATGGTATAACTCTTGAAAGTCCCAATCTTCATCTTTGCATTTCTTTAATAACTAGTGGAAAACAATTTAATGTCCTGTAGCAACACTCTGGACGAGCTTTATTAGACCTCTAGCGAGAACTGTGAACTGATAGAGCTATCCAGTATTAAAAATGTTTACTAACTTCTATCCATTTGTCAGGTATGGCCATTCCAAGACGATAATCAAATCCAATGCCACCTTCATTGATGGGACGGCAGAGTGCAGGCATGCCTGAAACATCCTGAAAATATACACAAACATTAGTGACACAGTGGTCAGTTCATGTGTCTTTTATCTCTGTGACTGAGGTTTGATTCCTCCAATATGCAGTTGTCTCATTATAATTCCACCTCAGTCACATGTGAGAAGAATGCTTCCAGTTTGACTCTACCAAACATCACAGGTTTTCTCAAGGTACTCCAGTTTCTTCCTGTAGTAACACTGGATCGATAAGAGATGATCCTTATTGGACCTCTAGGAAGAACAGTTTAGAACTGATAGAGCTATCCAGTATAAATAAAGTTAGTTTAGTTTAGGTTTCCTCCTGTAGTAACACTGGATCAATAAGAGATGATCCTTACTGGACCTCTAGGAAGAACAGTTTAGAACTGATAGAGCTATCCAGTATAAATAAAGTTAGTTTAGTTTAGGTTTCCTCCTGCAGTAACACTGGATCAATAAGAGATGATCCTTACTGGACCTCTAGCAAGAACAGTTTAGAACTGATAGAGCTATCCAGTATAAATAAAGTTAGTTTAGTTTAGGTTTCCTCCTGTAGTATCACTGGATCAATAAGAGATGACTCTTACTGGACCTCTCGGAAGAACAGTTTAGAACTGATAGAGCTATCCAGTATAAATAAAGTTAGTTTAGTTTAGGTTTCCTCCTGTAGTAACACTGGATCAATAACAGATGACTTTTACTGGACCTCTAGGAAGAACAGTTTAGAACTGATAGAACTATCCAGTATAAATAAAGTTAGTTTTTACCTCAGCAATCGAGACAACATCAGGATGAACAGTGTGCATCATATGATTGGCAAGCTGTAGGTAGGTGATAGACTCCGTGTCGACCCCCAGGCCAAAGAAGTTTGGATAGTCCCCACCAAACCCGTGCCCCAAACCATGGTCATGATAAATCATCGAGGTGACACCATCGAAACGAAATCCATCAAATTTATACTCCTCTAAATACCATCGCAAATTCGATAACAAAAACCGGAGGACTTCCCATCTAAAAAAAATTGTACATTACTAGACCAAGGTGCTGAAAATTTCGAGAATTACATAATTTGGGATATTGCCCTTTTGAATTTTTATTGAATTGTGTCGTTAAGATTTAGGTCAATGTTACTGTACTTACTGTGTATAATCAAACAATCGGCTATCCCAGAGATCGTGAAATCCTCTTGGGTTATCATGAAAATAACATCCATTGGTACCATCAAACTGATTTAAACCATCCATGGTGTTCTTACTGGCATGACTATGTACCACATCAAGAATTACCAGCAAACCATGACCATGTGCTGTGTCAATCAGGTGTTTGAGCTCATCTGGATTACCATAACGGCTGAATTGGTAAATGATTATGTAACTTTATTTATACTGGATAGCTCTATCAGTTCTAAACTGTTCTTCCTAGAGGTCCAGTGAGGATAATCTCTTATTGATCCAGTGTTACTACAGGAGGAAACCTAAACTAAACTAACTTTATTTATACTGGATAGCTCTATCAGTTCTAAACTGTTCTTCCTAGAGGTCCAGTAAGGATCATCTCTTATTGATCCAGTGTTACTACAGGAGGAAACCTAAACTAAACTAACTTTATTTATACTGGATAGCTCTAGTTCTAAACTGTTCTTCCTAGAGGTCCCATAACCCACCTGGACACAGCGAAGAAATTGGTCACTTGATACCCAAAAGATGCATAGTATGCATGTTCCATTATCGCCATTAGTTCAACACAATTATATCCAAGATCTTTTACAC